CCTTGTGACACCACACACTGCTTTCTTTATTTCCGCAGTTTACTCACCAAACCACCTGACAGTGTGCTTCCAGGCAACAAACCTTAAACCACAAGTTTCTAATCTGCATATTGGTAGATAAATATGTTTTGAACAGAAAGGAATGGACAACTAGCAAAGTGCTACATGGAATCAGTCAAATTTACAGCTGAAATTCTGCATGTTCTAAATAACTGAAAGAAGGCCTCAGAGAAAACATTTCCCCCTGGATTAAGCTGCCCATCTTTTTAATTGGTCAATACTTTTTATCTGTAATCAACACTAAAATTAAAAATGTATGATTTAATAGTTATATGACTACGGTACATATTTTTTTAGGTTATGAAACACAGTAAAGTTACTAATATAGTGAAATAAATATACTTAAATGAATCGGTAAAACAACGATTAATACTAGATTATTAATAACATGTTTAAATAGCAGGGAGCCTATTGGGACTGAAAGACTTATTTCTGCTAAATACTTAGCTTGTGCTGGTTTTATTCAAAAAGAAACAAGAAAAATTAAAGGTAAATTTAAGTTAAATGATCACTCTGAACAGTGAGACCAAAAAAGTTTGTCATGGCAACAATGTTATTAATATTGTGTTGCAAACAAATATACGATTATCAAAGAAATAAAATACTCTTTTTGTTATCATAATTCAACATTAAGGACTAAAGAGCTAAAACTTTATTTTATTTGGAGGGTTTTTTATATTTAGCTTATTAAAAATACAACTTGTAACATGAGATATGATTTTTCTAAAAGTGATCTCAACTCTTTTCTAGCATTTCCACTATTACAATTAATTTCTAACAAGAAGAAGGGAAATGGTGGTTAGAGTTGTATGCTTGGAAATATAACTACATTACCCTCAATTTCTGTTTCTAAATGGCGAAGAGGCTCCCCTGGAGGGTTTTCCATCTGACATCAGCCTCACAATTACAGCCACCATCTAATGTCTAATTGACCTTTTCCTTTATGACCCTAATGCAATTTGGACTGCACCAGTTGGACTAATGCTGTTATCCTCATTTGTGAAACTGCCAAAGGCTACAGAGACCAAACCAGTGAAAAAGATTATTAATCGTGCGTCTCTTATGAGTAAAAACACAGAATCTGGATCTGTTGCAGTGTACACTTTGAGTTATCAACTACATTCAGTATTCTCTTAGAATAGAGGTGAGAAAAGAACTTAAGTAGAAGTTTAAATCCTCCTGTATAAAAACACGTTTGTAGAAGCTTGAGCATCAACTTAAGCTTTTTACTCAAGTAAAAGTGTAAAAGTAGCGTTTTTAAAGCTACTTAAAGTATAAAATTAAAAGGAATGCAGGAAAAAATTTTAAGGGGAGACGCTTTAAACTGGTTACTCCACTACCTTATTAAATTAACTTTTTCCACATGTATGGATGATAACTTCCTGATAATTAATTTTCTTAGTTTGATAACTAATGAAGACAGTTTTAAACCTATTTATTTTGGTATGTGGTGAGCAACAAGTTGGTGCAACGCCGAGTCTAACCACAAAGAAATTAAAGGTATGGTTGAAACAAATCATTTAGAGTTTTTGTTTTTAAATACCAAAGGTTATAAAGAAAATGAGCTTGAGTGAAAAAAAAACTAAAGAGGCTATTTTTAAAATGTAAGGAGTAGAAGTAAAAAGATTTGCAAAAATAATTACTCCAGTAAAGAAGAGATATCCAAATGTTATACTTAAGTAAGAGTTTGAAAAAAAAACACTTTTTGAAAAAACAAGCATTACCAAGGAGAATACCGTAACCAAAATATTTCACTGCTTTATTAATTTATTAAAAGGCTGGGCACTAAGATTAACATCTTATTGAGGTAAAATACCTGAAACATATGTTCCAGTTTACAAAAGTGTAATGACAATTGCTTGTTTAGCAACATTACACATTATTCAATAAAATTCCTCTTAAAAAGAAAATAAAAAATATAAATAAGGACAGGCAATTATCGCATACGGAGAAAGTGACTAAATAAATTCACTGACATTCATTTTGGATAGAAAAAGGGCAGAGTGTCTTTTGACTCAGATATTTTACTTGATCATTTCTTAAGATATGTTTTAAATATATGACTCTATAATGTGAACAACCCTGAAGGTTTGGTCTCAGTTTTCCACCACAAAACATCTTTTAAATGAGGTAAAAGAATAACATTTGTGCTCATCTGACTAAAGTGGTTCTATACACGCATTTACTGTCTTCCTTTCTTGGCTTTTATTGTCTTCCTGACACACTTGCATGAGGATCTAATTTTATGATTGACCAACAGCTGACATATTAACCCAACAGTCTTTAGTCTCTTTTTCAGTAAAAGATCTAACTTGCTGGATAAGGAAGGGAATTACATGCATCTGGTTTTTGTTTCCCTAATGCAATGGGTCAGCAAAAGAGTAGCTTGAGGCCAAGGCATCCACCCCTGCATTTATAACACACAAACACAGCAGAAAACAAAATCGCTAATCAGATTTGAATTACCCTTCTTACTTATTTACAATTCCACCCATGAAAGCAGTAATTTTGAAATAATAAATATTTTTTTCTTGCAAATATATCTAATAGTTAGATGGTCGGGTTGTGCTAAATTAGTACTGAAAATCAAGTCAAATCATTGACCCCAATTGCTTTATAATCTAACTATTCCTTCAATAAATCACATGAGGAGTCCCTGTTGTTTGAAGAGATGTCTTTTGGGTGGATAAGGATACAACAAATCTGTACATTTCTTTATTGTTGACTTAACAGTGATGCAGACTTTGTGTGGACCCACCATCACCATGCAGGAAGATTAGGCCCAGCACCATGCAAAGAGGGTGCAGGTTGAACTCCTGACCTGAACCATCCCAGGCAAAGCCACCTCTGTAGTGACCCATCCACACGCCGGTCAAAACAACAGACACCAGTCCGAGTACCTGCGATGCTCCCACCAGCCCCGCAAACACAGAGCCACCACGGCGAGGGCTTGAATCCTCCATAGTCTGAGTCTGAAACAATCAAAAAAGTTAATTAACATTAAGAAATTTGACTAAATGCTCATAAAATAGTTTTTTTGAACAAATAATTCCTATGAAACATGATGACACAGAATACTATAAAGATATCTTTACCCCTTAAACTTCTTCAAATGTAGCTACAACAAACTCCCATCTATTTTTTAGGTCATTTAGGTCAATCATTTAATAATTCGGAAGAAGGAAGAAAATAGAAAACAAATGAAGCACGGTGGGTCTTTTTTGTTTTTAAAATAAAACTCAAAGAAGTGTGATGGGGGTTTGTTTTTAGAGCCCCTTAGTAAATTAGTAGAACCACATTTTACTTAAATACTTAATCTGTTTTTTCCCCTCACTGTCGCTGCATGCATATTTGTGGGATGCAATCAGCTGGGTTTCCTTAGATCACTTTTAATCAATTTGTTTGCATGATTTAATTGAACTGTAAGTATCTCATTGGTCCTATAAAGATAAATTAAAATTTATGGTTTATCAGAACATTAGTCGATAAACATGATAGAAACCAAGGAATGCGGCAGACAGGTCAGGAATGTTTATGTGGAGAAGTTTAAAGTATAATAAAACACCCAGCCTTTAAAATTTGTATAGACATGTTAATATAAACGCCTGTGAAAATGGAAAGTAAGGCAATAGCCATCCACCTAAACTAACAGGCCAGGAAAGGAGAGGTCAAATCAGAGAAGCAACTAAGAGGCCTAAACAATCAATTGTTTTCCAGGTTGTCCTTTTGGAAGTAAAGAGAAAGAAAGTCATTACTGCTGTTGAATACATTCCTCAGACTTAAAACAAAAATAGAAACATGTAGAAGAATGAGCATTTAGATAATCCTCATTCCACTTCCTTCAACTGTTTTTTTTTTTTAGTATTGGCATGTGTGCAGTGATGCAATACGTGTCACTGCACTTTGGTCGCAATATGATATTATCACAATATTTCAATATCACAACATAGAGCGAGATTTTATCCAGCTATCAAAATGTACAGCACCAGCCAATCAAAATGGCCCTTCCCAGTCAAACGCCAGCCGAATGGCAGCACACTTCCCTCCAACTCCCAGCAAAATCCCCTCCAACTTCCAGCTGGAATGACCCCCAGTTGTATATTTCGTTTACTCTGACTCCACCCTTTCACTGACTTACAGGGTCTGACCAGATGATGCTTCTCTTTAGAGCGTAATGTCCACAAATGATGACAGAAAGAATATTTTATTACAAAGACTGATGTTTAAAAAGGACTTTTATGGGACCAGCTGAGGACCAGCCAAGGGCCCATCGGGGAAAGTGAGGACATTTTGAATGACTGCTACTGTAAAGACAAAAAAGTTCTGTATATGTTCATCAGAAGGTATTGATCATTTAGTTATTTTGGTATCCATGTTATTTCTGGTCTGAGTCAGTCCATGACTTCTACTGTGACTGCTTCAACTACAGAAATGTTGCTGCACAGCAAAAGGGCTCCACGGCGCTATCTACTGTACTAGAGTGGCAGTGGCTAATTTTGCCTAATTGTTTTTAGGTCATTTTTTTAATCAAATCGATATTAGGAACTGAAAGATCAATATCACATTGAGCAGCCAAAAATCACAAGATATATCACAAATTTGTTTTTTTTACACCCCTAGTAAAAACTACATTTAAGTTTAAGGATAAAATATAAAAGATAATGAATTAATTTGAAAGGCTTGTTACCTTCTGTCTTATTGTTTCAGCTTAAGTGCCTAGTGAACACCTGGGGATGTAATTATGTAATTGTTGAAGTAAAACAGGCGAAGAAGGTTTATTTAAAGAGTGTTCCAAAAAAACCCAAAAACCATCAGAATCAAAAGCCATAGAAGAGCATTAGCTGGTGTTTTCTATTTCCTGACTGCAGAGATGTGAATCTAAAGCAAAACAAGTATGATTCGTAGAATTTTTTTATTCAAACCACGTTAAATGGGACCTATACTCTTCTGATAAAGAAAAAGGCAGGAAAGTTAGTTGGACTTCTCTCCATGCAAGATGTGTAGATTTT